AGGCGGACGCAGTCGGCCCTCGGGGCTGCTACCTGGACGTGGATTGGACTACCACCCCAGGCCGCTACTGATCACCCGGTGGCGCAACGCTGCACATCGACTTCGTGGTCGTCCGCATCTCCTGGGCCCCTCCTTACCAGTCGGTGGCACCTGGTGCATTTCGCCTTCCTGGTCTCCCCCTACCTCGCGGACGTTGACTTGCTCGCGGCCCTCCTCACGCAGCACTCGAGGATGGTGTTCTTGGCGCGCCGATGACGGCAACGCCAATCCGCTTCCCCTGTGGGGCCGCGCCCCCTGGCGCGCCTTGTCCTGTGCAAGATCTTCGGCGCCGCCTGTTTTCTGAGCCCTCCGGCCGCCTGAGGCCCCGCCCGCCCGCGCCCTGTTTCCCCAATTAGGGCCACCCGCGCCCCGTAAAGCTCTTGGCCGGAAGGGGCCCGCTCCCGACCCGCAGACCAAAAAGTGTTTGTGGATGAGTTCTGTGTTGTCGGGATCCAAGTGGGGGGTTGGTGCGCAGGAATGCGATGTGATTGACCTTCGCGCGCGGGGCGGGTGCGTCCGTCATTTCTTGCCCGCAACTTGCCGAAGCCATCTTCCTCGAGGAGGGGGCCGAATGATATGGCCGAAGGGCAGTCGTTTAAGGCCGCGGCGTTGCTGTGAGACTTGCACACGGGCATCTTGAACCTAATATTCACCCACAACATTCGCCGTTGGCAGTTTCTATGATATACTCGTCGCCTTTGAAGACGGGTGGCTCTCCTCGTGGGCAGCGTTGTCCTTGTCCGTGACGTGATGGGCCGATCCGCTGTCGAGGGCCCATGGGCGTGGAAGAACTGCTGGTCCTCCCGAAGGTGCCGATGCAGGAGCTTCCTACCGCGGTCGGACACACTCTCCGTCGCGACGTGGCGTGGTCGGGCGTGCCGGCCCGGCGGGCGTTGGCGCCTTGTAGTCTAGGTCGCGTTGGGTGGCGTCAAATAGCTTGACTGCTTCGTCACGTGCCGCGACCAAGTCCTAATCGGAACATATCCACCATTTGTCGGATATGGGGCTCGGGGAAGTGCGCTGCGGCGTCTGGTTGAGCTGGTCCTTATGCGGCCGCGTCTTCTAGGCGTGGACCTCGGTGTTGCCGAGGTCCCAGGAGACGGTGTGTCCAGTGCGCTTTGTCGGCATGACAGCCAACGCGATGTCTTCTGTCCTGCGCGCCAGGCCGCGCGGTCGTCCGCGGCGTGGGCCGGGCGAACGGCCGCTGCGCCCAGGTGAGCGCGATTCTCTTAGAGTGCTGGCATGTCCGCGGGAATCCATGGATTGGGGTCGACTGCGCTGGGAGTCGCGCCGTGAGTCCCAGGTCTGGGTGCGACCCCGGTTGGAACCGCGGTGTGAATCGCGGGAGTTGCGGTGGGACTTGCGGAGGGGGGAACGCGAGCCCGCGTGGCGACCGCGGCCGTCGCGGTTAGCTCGACGCGTGCCTCCTGGACTGCGGGGTGGGTCGCGGCCGCGGTCGCGGCCGCGGCGACCCCCTGGGCTCCGTGGCGGCTGTGGGCTGCGTGGGAGGTTGGGGCTCCGAGGTGGAGTCCCGTGTCAGCAACTGACGCGGGGGCGTGTGCACTGGTCGCCCTTGGGGCCGTTGCCGGCTATGTAGTAGTTGCAGCCTGGTATATGCGGTCGGGCGCGACGGTCGCCGTCGGGGCAAGGCCCCGTCCTTGCAGCCGTGTGGCGAGGATTGGTGGGCGGCCCCGTTGTAGTGAGTTCTGTGTCGTTGCTCAATAGAATTGGATGGAGGTCGCGACGGTGGTCGAGTGCCCGATCCAGTATGCAGTGGCTTGCACTTACTCTTTCTGTGCATTTGCCCTTGCCGAAGACGACGCGATATTGTTCCTGTGGACCTCGTGTAGATGGCGTCGCTGCCGTGGGGGTAGAGCGCTCGCACTGATGGCGCTGATGTCGATGGAGCTCGATTGTAGCGGTGGCTCGCTGACGACGCCAGATGTAACTGCGTTCTGGAGTGTTCTTCGGTGCTCGGTTGTAGAAAGCACCATCCTCGCGCGTCCATGGGCGGCGGCGTATTCGAGCGCGTGATGGCGCTTCGCGGAACCCCAGCAATACTTTGTCCCAATCTGCCTGGCACGAATTTATCGAAGTCGTCGTCGCGCGCGCGAAGCGTGTTGATGCGTTCGAAGTCGTGGATAGCGTCGCCGGCATACAAGGGCGCGCGATAAGCCAGCAGAGTTGGCGTCCTTGAAGCGCGCGCCCCTGTCGGTGCTCGGTGTTCTCCGGGAGTTTCAAGTCTTGGCGCAATTCAGCGGGAAGAACCTCTGTGAGTGCAGCGGCAAGCCTGCAGTCCAGACTTTCGAAATCACCGCTGCCGCGGAGGCCGCCCAGGTGCGCGTCAGTTCTGTTCGGTGATGTAGATGAAACTGCGGGCGGCAGTGCCCCTGCCGGGCGCCCCGCAGAAAACCTTGCGCAGTTTTAGTAGCCGTTCAAATACCTGAAGGATCTTCGAACGACGAAGAACCTTGATGGTCTTGGATTCCTTGATCACGGCAGGAACCGTGAAAAGAGAACCTCCGACGGTGCACTGGGGTACTGCGACTGTGGAACAAAGAGCAATTGGCGAATGAGTGCGATAGCTCGCAGCCTTGTGCGCGCCGTGCGCGCGCGGCTCATCCGCAGTGGCGGTTGGCGCCGCTGTTCGGGCAAGCAGTGCAGGTGGTGTGGGCTGGAGATGGACTCCGTTCTGCCTGTGTGCTCTGGTTATGTTTGTTTCGTTTGCGTGGTGCTTCGTAGCGCCGTTCGCGTGGTCGGACAATTTGTCGTCGTGGTCGACGCGATCCCGCTGTCGCTGATTCGCGCATCGCGGAAGTCCTTCGGATTCCTCGAGGATCTCTACGATTCACCTTGCAACGAGTGTTGTCGTTCAACTCTGGAGGATAGGCAAGACATGGTAGAGTGTGAACCGCAAGATTCCTGTGATTGCGTCGCCATGCGGGCCTGGACCTCAGTTGCCCGTGACGTCGTGGCATCTCTTTCGGCGAAGTCTTCGTGGTACTGCCCTTGCGTTCTGCCCGCCGTCGCTCGCAAGGTCTGAACCTCAGTTTCCAGCGGGGGCGGGTTTTCATCCGAAACGGCGCCCAGCTGGCCAGTCTGGGCCCGCGCGGCGCGCTGTGCAGTCACGGTCTGTTCGAGCGCGACGACTCTGGCGGAAGCGTTGAATGACGACGTTCTCTGCTGGGTCAAGCTCGCCGTGGAGGACCTGCGGGGCGTCGCGGGTCTCGGGGCGCAGTGCAGCGGCTTGGTATGTAACCATGTGTCGAAGCTCCTGAATGTGTTCGTGGACGGCGGCGGGTGCTGTGCTTGGACTGGCGAGCGCCAGCGTCCGTGCCTCCTCATGAATAAACCGAGCTCGTGAGTCGTTGTGGTCTCGAACAGCTGGAATGTAATCGTCGAGGTGTTGGAGGTCAATTCTCACAATGATGGGTTCGACGCGGTCCTGTCCGTGCGGATACTGGGATTCTTCGACGCGGGAGACCATGTGAGCTACGATCCCACGGTCTACTTGGACGGCTTCGTCGATCCCTGAACTCTCTTGATCAACTCCAACCGCAAAACGGCCGTATCAGAAACGGCAGCAACGTGGGGCTGAAAGCTGTTGTGCGACAGACCTTCTAACCTGCTGTCTCAGCTCAACCGATCGACCCGACGAAATCCACGGTGATTCAACTCGGGGCTGTCGGCGCGCAATCGACAGACACAAGTGGTGCGAGTGTGGCTGGAACCACGCTCGGGAACCATGCTCCGAGACTCAATAACTCGTACTTGGTCAACCACGCGAGGTGAGCGATCCCCGCGTTCTGGAGCGGAGACGTGCTGTGTCCACTCTCAAGAACCACGAACGCCCAACATGGGTGGAATACCTGGGGGAACGGGAAGTCCCTGACCACAGGTATGGCGCTTCCAGGCGTTCCCCCCGCGAGATTTGAACGGTGGGGTCAAAGGCTCCTGGGATACGAGCGTCCTGGGGTTGGTTGGTCCGTTGGACCCAGCGCATGCAGGAGTCCCCCCCCGCAACCAGTGATCATCCTGGGAGAAGGTCTTTCCACTGTGGCTGTCGCCGGCAAGGGTTTCCTCCCGCAAACGCTGAGCGAAAAGGGTCGAGAACTCCGTGCTCGATGTTCCCTATGTTGGGGGTGGCGTGTAAGGTTGGATCGCCGACGGCATCGTGAGTTGGTTTCAGATCGACTGAACCGACAGACGTGCCGAACGTGTTTCGGTACATGGATACGATGGCGGCGTCATTTTTGTCAAAGCCTATAATCCCCTCGAGACTGTGCGCCAAGACCCGCGAGGCAGGGGCGTTACCAGCGCTCGCCGCACAAGGCGGCACACCCACATGAGGCGGGGGGGCCGCCATCAAAGCAAAGTGGAAACCCCGCCGCGCGAGGGTTGTCGCACACGAGGTGCTAAAGAAAAACAAGCTGATCACCTGTGTGAAGGTACGGTTGGCCGAAAGGCTGGTCCCCTCCCAACTATCCGTTGGTAAAGGCGGTAACGTCAAATGAAGGACAATGATGGAGGTTTTGCCGTTTTCCACAAGTCCTACAATCGGGGTGTGTTACCAACTAGGTAGCCAATACTTTGAGCCAAAAGGGGAGGCGGATACGGTAAAGGGTGTGACAGGCAGAAGGTTCAGTCACACCCCGCGATGGGCGAGGCCCTGTTACCTTCGCGCCCTCGTGCCGCCGCCCAAGAGAGGGGCGCATCTCCAACCCAAGCCGAGATGTGCGAAGCGTGATTATCTTTGCGCCCCTGGGGGTGACCTAAGCTGCGCCATGCCTGCCTGGAGATTCGACGCTGCGAAACGTTGCAGCATCGCGAGAATCACGACTGGAACCCTAATTAGACCCCATCTTGCCGCTGCATGTCTCGAACTGGATCGACCCGTGGTGGTCCTGGGGCCCGCAGCCGGGCGAAAACGCCCGATGTGAAACAATTGCGACGCTCGGATCTGAGGGTGGCGCGGCCCACCCGAGGGAAAGAGGGGACCTCTTCTATCATTCCGTGTCCTCCGTTAGCGTGGCGGATGATGCAGGCAACCGCTCGCGGCCGGCGTGCGGCCAGACAGCGGCCCGCGCAGCGGAAAACGAGGCCACGCCCGCTCGCCGGAGGCTCTCTTAGCTCCAGGCCGAGCGCCCCGCTCGCTGCGCTGGGCTGTCGGTCGGCCTGGGGGCGACGCGCTGCGGCGACGCCGAGGACCGGTCCGAGATGCCGATGCCGAGCTGCTGTGCGAACTGGCGCACCTCTAGAGGGCAGAAGGACCACCCTCGCAGCCCGCACCCCGACGAGCGAAGCCGTTCAGTAAATGCATCAGAGGAAGGAAACGAACATGGCAGGGCTACTTGGTGAACGCCCAAGGCTGTTTCTTCGCTGCCCCGATACGCGACACGCAACTGGGAGCGTGCTGACACAGAACTCAGTACGTATACTGAAAACGTAGCTCTGGCGCGATACGTTCGCCAGAACGTGGGCCAACACCTGCGTGAGAGACGTGGCGAACACGGTACGTGTTGCGTTCCAGCACGTGCGTGTCAGGGCAGCTGAGAGCTGTGTAGTAAATCCCAATGATGGGGGTCGGGGTGGCTTTTTTAGGGCAGCGAGCTCTATACACCGACGCTTTTTTCTGGCCCTGCACTGGCACTTGCACAAGAAAGCGCATCCTGGTGTATACAGGATCCTGGTGTATACATTTTTCGTTGCTGCCCCGGGAAGCGGGAAACACAACTATACACCACACCACCCCGACGTCGTCCCCGACCCGCAAAAAATCCCGGGATTGAAAACAACCCACCAGTGGTAATGCATCCAGATATACCTATACGACCATCCTTCGGGTGATAAGGAGGCTGTTGGGGGGAGAGAGGGGGGAACCAACATCTGACTCAATCGATCTCACTATCGATCTCACTCAACGGTACACCACGGGACACCACGGGACACTTGTCGATCTCACTATCGATCTCACTCAACGGGACACCACGGGACACCACGGGCCACCACGGGACACCACGGGACGCCGCGGGACACCTCTCGATCCTACTATCGGTCTCACTTTCGATCTCACTATCGATCTCACTCAACGGGACACTATACGACACCACGGGACACCTCGTGACACCACATCGATGTCACTATCGACCTCACTACCTATACGACGACCCTTTGGGTGATAAGGAGGTTCGGGGGGGGGGAGGAACCAACGTCTCACTCGATCGTTCTCGCTATCGATCTCACTATCGATCTCACTATCGGTTTCGCTCGATCGATCTCACTCGGTCAATCTTACTCGATCTATTTGATTCGATCGATCTCACAATCGATCAGACTATCGATCTCACAATCGATGTCACAACCGATCGCACTATCGATCTCACAATCGATCTCACATTCGGTCTCCCTATTGATATCACCATCGATACCACAATCGATCTCACAATCAACGCCATCATCATCAACATCATCATCATCATCATCATCATCATCATCATCATCATCATCATCATCGGGACACCATCGTCATCATTTCCTCATCACCATCATTATCAACATCATCATCACCATCATCATCATCATCATCGGGACACCATCATCGTCACCATCATCATCATCAACACCATCATCTTCGGGACACCATCATCATCATCACCATCATCGGAACACCACATCATCATCTCATCATCATCATCATCATGAACAACGTCATCAACATCACCATCATCGGGACACCATCATCATCGGGACACCATCATCATCAGCAACATCATCATCATCATCATCATCGGGACACCATCATCATCGTCAGCATCAGCATCATCACCATCATCGGGGCACCATCATCATCATCAACATCAACATCATCATGACCACCATCATTGGGCCACCATCATCAAAATGTTCATCCTCACCGCATCATCATCCTCATCTCCAATCGTCATCATCATCATCAGCGGGATACCATCGTCATCATCATCATCTTACCAACATCATCATCATCGGGACACCATCATGATCATCACCATCATCAACTTTTTCAATATCATCATCGGGACACCATCATCACCATCATCTTCATCATCATCATCATCATCATCATCATCTCATCATCGTCTCATCATCATCATCAACATCATCCGGATCATCAGCAACATCATCATCGAGACACCATCATCAACAACATCATCATCACCATCAACATCAACATCATCATCATCATCATCATCGGGGCACCATCATCATCACCATCACCATCATCAACATCGTCAGCATCATCACTATCATCATCATCATCACCACCATTATCATCATCATCACCGGGACACAATCATCAACACCATCACCATCATCATCATCATCATCATCATCATCATCACCATCATCATCATCATCATCATCAACAACATCATCGAAATCATCGACCATCACCATCATCACCATCACCATCACCATCACCATCACCATCACCATCACCATCACATCACCATCACCATCACCATCACCATCACCACCACCACCACCATCATCATCATCATCATCATCATCATCATCATCATCATCATCATCATCATCATCATCATCATCATCATCATCATCATCATCATCATCATCATCATCATCATCATCATCATCATCATCATCATCATCATCATCATCATCATCATCATCGGGACACCGACGGGACACCGGCGGGACACCGGCGGGACACCGGCGGGACACCGTGGGCCACCGGCCCCCGGAGAGGAATCATCTGGTCCGGCCCCGGCTCAGCCGGCGGGACACCAGCGGGACACCGCGGGCCACTGGTCCCCGGAAAGGAATCATTTGGTCCGGCCGCGCCTCAGCCGGAGGAGACCTTCTTCTCGCCCGCCCACGCAGCTTCGCCTCGCCCGCACGCACGGCACGCACGAACACGAATATATATATATATATATATATATATATATATATATATGTATGCTCCAGTTTCCGAATTTCCCCCCTCGAACCTCGTCCTCCAGCATGCTCAGGCGGCCGCGGGCCTGCTGCGGCGCGCGCAGGCCAGCGGCGGCCCGGCTCGGTGCGGTGGGCGCCACGGGAGACCCGCCTCCCAGCTGCGCAGGCGCCCAGGCGGTGGCTGCCGCCACCGCCGGCTGCAGGGCCGCGCGCGTCCCGGCCAGGGGCTCCGCGGGGGCGGCGGCGGGCGGCAGCGCTCGTGCGGGCGAGCCGCCCGCGAGCGGGCGCCCGGGGCTGCCGGGGCCGAAGCGCTGCTGCAGGGGCCCGCCCGGGCCGCCGGGGTGCGACGGGGAGAAGGGCCGGGCCGCGGCTGCGCGCGAGGAGCTCGGGCTGCCCAGCGAGGGGGCGAGCAGCAAGCGGGAGGCCCTGGGCGGCGATGCCGAACGCGGTGGCGACCCGGGCGCGCCCGTGGGCGGCACAGGCCTGGGGGCCTCCGCTGGGCGCACCGGCTCGAGCTGCACCGCCACGGGCGCCTGGAAATTCACCGCCAAGGGTCCCGAGCTCGCCGGCGCGCCTGCGCTGGCGGGAGACCCGGACCACATCGCGGGCCTGGCAGCCGCGGAGGGCGTCATGGCCGAGGCGCCGCCGACGAACCGCTCGGGCGATGCTGGCGCTTCTGGCCCGCGGGCTGCGGCACCCGCGCGCGCCCGCGCGCGTGCCGCGTTCTCCTCGGCCTGTAGCGCGCCGCTCTGGAGGCGCAGGACCTCGTCGTGGAGGGGTCTCACCTCACTGGCCCAACTCTCCCGGTAGTCCTGCAACTTCTGCTCCAGCTGCCGCTCGTGGTCCTGGCACTCCTCCCTGCTGCGCTGCTCGACCTGCCACAGGGAGTCCTTGAGCTTGGCCTGGAAAGCCAGCTCCTTGATGGCGCTTTCTTCCAAGGCTTTCGTCTCCACCAGCCTGTCTGCCTGCAACTTGTCCAGAGGCTTGCACACCGCCTCGTCCAAATCGGCGCCTGGCGACTTGCTGGTGGACAGCTCAGGTTCACCGCCGTCGGCCTTCAGGGTCTTCAGCTCGGCCCTTGCCTGCTCCAGCTCGAGCTTCAGCTGCTCGTTCTCGGCCTTCAGGGCCTCCATCGCCTGGAGGCCGCCCGGAGCCCGCGGCTCCTGGGTGTCCGAGCCAGGCGGTGCCGCGCCCACCGCGTCGGGCGGCCCCGGAGGCTCCTCGCCGGTGGACTGCTCGCTGCTCGCCCCGTGCACCGAGGCGGAGCTGGCCTTCTCGGCCTTCAGGGCCTCCATCGCCTGGAGGCCGCCCGGAGCCCGCGGCTCCTGGGTGTCCGAGCCAGGCGGTGCCGCGCCCACCGCGTCGGGCGGCCCCGGAGGCTCCTCGCCGGTGGACTGCTCGCTGCTCGCCCCGTGCACCGAGGCGGAGCTGGCCTGCGAAGGCGCGCCCGCCTGCGTCGGACTGCTCGGCGACGCCTTCGGGCCGCCTCCGGTGGCGCCCGCCGCGGCGGCGGCGGCGGCGCCGACGGCCGCCGAGGGGCGGGCCTCCGCGGCCGCGCTGGGCGCGCGCAGCGCTGGCGGCGTCGCCGGCACGGGGCCGCTGCGGGGCGTGTGCGCGTCGTCCTCCTCGCCGTCCGAGAAGATGGGCGTGTCTGGGGACGCGGCGGTGGCGTCGGGGCCCTGCTGGTGAGGGGCAGGCCCTGCTGGTGAGGATGACGCGTGCAGCTCGTCGGCGCTGTCCTGCTCGCTCTCCGAGGAGGAGAAGTCCGCTGCCGTGCACGCAGGCACTGGCGGAGGAGAGTGTGCTCGAGGCCCTCAGCACGGCCAGGCACTCTCGCACAGCGTGTCGCGGCGGCGGCCCCGGCGACACGCTGTGCCCCGCGAGCCGGCAGCGTGCCGCTCCGCTCCGCGGGGGGCTCGGCAAGGCTCGGGACGTGGGCGCCTGGGGACCGGGACGTGGACAGCGTGCCGCGCCGAGGCGTGGTGGGTCAGAACCAGCGGCGCGACACGCTGAGCCAAAGCTCCCGACCTGAGTTCTCAAGGCCAAGCGCTGAGAGCGAAGTGCATGTGGGGGCCCAGGCCCAACCAGGATTCCTGCGCGCTTCTGTGGGCTTGCTGCGCGACCCTCTCCGAGGCCCCTGGAGGGTCTTTGGGAGCCCAAACTGCCAACACGCCCTACACACAAAACGCAACACAACGAGGTGCGGTGAGGATGCAAGGGAGGCCATGCTGACGATTTTCGAACGGGGCTGGCCAGCGAAAGTCGCCAAGGATGGGCCGAAGGGGCAATGATGTAATGACAACCTTGGGAAATTGCTCATCCTTGATGTGTGCTTTGACTGTAAGCTGATCCCATAGGCCCGAGCTGGAGGCGTCGAGGGCGTCTCTCGGGTCGTCCTGGAGGCTTTCGGGGCGAGCCCAAACAAGCCAAACACGTCAGAACACCCAAGATTGAGCCTGACTTTTAGTATGCTCGCCTGTTCGGTCTTAAGAGCGTCCGAGAGGGCCCAACACAAGAGGCGTCCACGATACCCCCAGAAGGCCACCAAGATGTCTCCCAAAGGCCTGAAGAGGCCGCCCAAGAGGCCCTCAACAGACTCCCCAAGAGTCTCCCAAGTGGCCTCCAAAAGACCTCTGGCCCACGACCCAAACACAGTGGTGGGATGGGCCAAAGGCAGCTGGATACGACGTCATCTTGGACTGAGCTGGCGCTCCCGCGGACGCGGCGCTGCTGGGCTGTGCCGAGTCCCGTTTGGGCGGCGTGGAGCTCGCGCTCGTCTCGCCCCGCGCCTTGGGCGCGGCGCTACTGCCCGCAAGCCCGCCGCCGCTGGGGGACGATGGCAACCCGAAGGTCGGCGAGGACGCCGTGTCCGGGGCCAGCCTGGACCCGAGCCTCCGCTTCGGCGCCGGGGCCGCGCGGCTGCTCGGCCCGCCGCTGGGCGACGGCGTCCGCGGCGCATGGCCCGCGCTCGCCGGCGCCCGCGCCGCGCCCGCCGAGGGGCCGCCCCGCCCCGGCGACCTGGAGCTGCTGGGGGCCCTCGCGGCTCCGCCCGCCGGCCCGGCCGGCGCCGCCGCCGGCCGCGCCGGGGCGCGCGCCTTCGGCGCCGCCGGGCTGCTGGCCGCCGCCCGGGGCGCCGGCGCGGAGGGCCCGCGCGGGCCGGCCTGTGCGGGCGCGGCCTTGGCGGCCTGGCGCGGTGGCCCCGGCTGCCGCGGCGCGGAGGCCGCGCGGGGCGCGGCGGGGCCGCCCGAGCGCGGGCGCGTCGGCGCGGCCGCCGCCATGGGGCGGGCGCGCGCACGCGCCCAGGCTGCCCCGCGCGCGCGCGCGCGTGCGGCTCGCCGCCGGAGCTGGAGCCGAAGTGGTCCCCGGAAGGTGTGCCTGCGCTTCCCGCTCTGGGGGAGCAAGGGCAGCCGTGGTCGCGCTTTACGCTCCGCGAGGCGCGAGCAGCTTCGCGCGCTCGTGCCGCCCCCCTGCGGGAGGAGGGAATGACGGGGAGGGTGACGACCAGGAGTCGCGAATCGCAGATACTTTCGCGCCATCGTGGCGGCTTTTGGAGTGAGCACTGCGTGGCCCTGGGGGATCACTGGTCTCATGAAACAAAGAACGGCACAGACATGAACTCTCGGAAGTCTGCGCGGATTTCTTGTCGGGGCTGAATCCCCCTCCACAAACCCATTCCATGAGCGCGGAACGGGCCAGGGGCGGCGCTGGATGCACCGCCCACGGGAATCCAGCGCCGACCCATGAAATCCGCACGGACCTCGGGAAAACTATGATGCCTTGTTTGCGTTTCCGAACTCAACGAGATCTCCTCGGACCTCCGACGACAATCCGCGAGTCTCCCAAGGCCCGAGGCGGCTCCCGCAAGGAACACCACGCCTCCTTCGTCTCTCCTCCCTCCTCCATCGTCGTGAGCTCTCGTCCCTCCGCCCTCAGCCCTACTCGCTTCTCCTCCCTTCCTCCTCCTTGTCCTCCTCCTCCTCCTCCTCCTCCTCGTCGTCCTCCTCCTCCTCCTCCTCCTCGCACATACCCAAAGGTGCAACGAGGGTTCCAAGGGTCCTTACTCATCTACTTGCTGTAGCAGCTGCGCTCTGGCAGCACGAACCGAGTCAGCCATCGGCCAACCTTGACGCCTGTGATTATATGCATAAAACGCAATCACTAACCGCTGCAGCGCCAAAGCTCTCTGTTCAGGCGTCATCCGACGAGCCAGACCGAGCCTCTTGTCGAGATGGTGATCTATCGGAAGGTCTGGTTTCCAGTGAGACTGAACAAGACCCCAGAGCGTCGGACACGACAAATAGTGCCGTTGGTCATCCATCTCCGACGGACACTCAAACAGGCACTTCGCATCCTTCTGATACATCCTCCTCTCCGTCGTCCAACCCCGACTAACGTGCGAATGATCGAGCACTGCCGCGCAGGCGGCATGGTCAACATGACTTGCTTCAGATCAGGCCAAGAAAGAGCCTGGAGAGCTCGAGCTGATGGCGGCCTCGAGGCCCACTTCGAGATGCGCTTCACAATCGTTCTCGCAAGATCATCGCTAAGAAGAGTCTACTCAAGACTTCTCGTGAGAGTGCGCTGGACAGGAGTAGCAGGGTCCTCCCTGCGCGCAGCCGAGAGAGCAAGACGGGCAGATGAGACAGCAGACGAAATGCGTGGCATAGAGGGAAGCGACGCCTCCGCCTCTGCCGACTCCTGCACAAATGGGCGGGCCTGCCAGCGAGGTGGAGACCAGGAACTCGCCGCCCACGAGACCAGCGGCAGCGCCTCGCGACCTATCTCCTGCAACCCAGACCAGAGGCTACGCCAGTTCTGTATTGTTACAATGGCAGAGCGAACATGAGTGGCAGTGTTGACTATGCGCATCGACTGGGGACGAAGCTGAGCCCACAAGCGCAAGCCATGAAGGGCCGAGAGCGGGAGAGCACGCGAGGGCAGATGCAAAATGCGATGGAGAGCCCAACTTTCCCACTTGACTATCGCCTTTGGGACGGGAGTCAGCTGAGCCAGGTGCGCAAACTTCGAGACAGCACGCAAATTATACATGTGAGTGCTGATGGAGGGGGCGGCCTTAGTAGCAGCAAGTTCCTGTATGACACCACGCCACTCACGAAGCGCCCTCGACCACAACTTCTCTGTGGTCGCTGCTGGGCCGATCCACGTTCCAAGATATTCTGCACACTCGACAATGGGAAGGTCCTTCCACCGAGGGACAGCAGCTGCTAGCTTAGTAGCAACTCGCTTTTGGAGGTCCAACGAAAAGCCTTCGCCTACAGGGATGAGCCTACACTTTGGGATGTTCAACTGAAGGCCAGCGAACACCTGCGCCGCATAAGAAACTCCCGAGAGTTTCGCAAGGGCGTCCAACTCCTCCTCCGAAACCCCCACGTCGTCCGCACAGACTCCCACCTCCGACCCAGGATACTTCTTTAGCCGCTTGCGAATGCCTCGAATTATGGGGTCCATACAGAGTGCCCACATCGTGCCACTGAGTGGATCTCCTTGCATCACCCCTGACTGGATGTAGCAGAAGAACGAAACAACGCCATGCAGAGAGACGCACGCAGAGGCGAACATGTACGTGGCAGCCGTGAAGTACTGGAAACCAATTGGAAGAGCAATCGCATCAAGAAGATGCCAGAGGAAGAGGTGAGTCAGAGAGGGGAAGGCGTTTCCAAAGTCCAGAAGCAAGATCGCAGGCATCGCATCTTTCGCCTGTGGACGCATGCTAGCAATGCGGGAGCTAGTGTCCAACAATGTGATGTTGTCTAGGAAATTGCGCTGCGCCACACATCCCCGCTGATCAGGGTGGGCATCTGTTGTCAACACCCGCTTGAGACTATGGTTACAGGCCGAGGCTAAGATCTTCGCATCCGTATTTTTCAAAGCCAAAGGCCGAGTCGTGGCCGGTTCTCGGACCACGAACGATGAGTCCTCCAACCTATGTCCCTTCGGAACGAACACCAGTAAAAGCTCCTTGAGCTCCACGGGAGGGGGGGGGCCACTGAGGAGCACGAGGAGGAGGTCATGAAGAATGACAGGTGCTAACTTCGCGTGCCTCCAGGCCGCATGTGGGGTCCCATCGGGCCCTGGGGCAGTCGGCGAAGCACGAGCAATCAATCGCACTATATCATATTGCGTGGGCAGCACAACTGTCGACCAGTCAAACGGCTTCACGTTAAGCGAGAGATATTTCTGCAGCTTCTCGAGCGGGGCCGTCTTAGAGGCAACGACAAGGGTCCACTGGGCCTTGAGGGCTTGGCGCATGTCCGACGGGGAGGTGGGAAGGGAGCCAGTGGAGGGGTCCTCAAGGGCCTGGAGCGGGAGAGATTTCCCCTCAGGAGCCCACAGTTTTCCCCTGCGCCTCTCAGCCTTCATATACGCTCGAAGCCTTTTCTTCTCGTGGAACGGCGTGCTGGGGTTCTGAGACTGTGTGGCAGCAGCAGAGATGCGAGCATCAGAAATCTCCTGACGCAGACTTT